ACCAATGCATATGAATATAATATAGCCTGATTGGTGATCATAATATATATTGGAAATAGAAATATTGTTCCTCAAGGAGTTTGGAACTCATCCAATCATTGTCACAATATAATATAGCCGATTTCATTTTTTATGTTTCCTTTTTTCTTCCGTTTACTTTGCATTATCGTGTTTTATTATCATTTTCAATTTTTGATATTGTTTCCCTTTGTATTACGTTCATATATATATATATATATATATATATATATGTGTGTGTGTGTGTGTGTGTAATTTTTTTTTAATATAATGAAGAATCAAATTCGCACCTTTCAACTCTCTCTCTCTCTTAAGAGGTACAGTTAAGGTTTCGAGTTTGGGATCCCTTCTTAGAGTCGGAGGTGTAGATTTGGTGAGTTAGAGTATGGTGGCGTTGTTGCTCTAGGGTCTCAGTCCCCACGTTGATATGGTTCGGGGGAGGACGATGCATGTATTGGGGTGACTAGCGTTGGAGGTGGAGCTCGAGGCATGGTCGATTCCGCTGGTGCGAGGAGCGGGAAGTTTTCGACGGATCTCTAGTGTGTACGCTTTGTTTGGGTTGTTTTCACTTCGTGGGTTGTTTTCACATCGTTTTCATTGCCAGTGGTTGCATTCTTATGTTGTGACTCTGCTCATATCCAAGTTCTTTGACCTCCGTACCGTGGTGGATGGCTCGTTGTCGGCTTTTCTTCCATTTTAGTTGGGGCCATTTATAGTTTTCTTAATATTTTATTAATTTTAATGAAGGCGTATTTTCCATGTTTATGTATTATAATAACATAGGTGATTTCCTCACATTCTGATTTTCTTTGTGTGTCCCATCCGTCTGAATTGGTTATAGACGGTGTGTGTGTTAGTTTATAGCTAGATTTGTTTATAGACCACGTCGCTTGTGTTCCCAGTATTCTGCGCTTGGTCTTGGTCAACTAGATTTATCTATCAACTGTAGTGGTTCTTTGTAACGAGCGTTGATCGCTATGTCGAGCAGGTCTTTTCCTGTTGGGTCTCAACACTTGTGTTTACCCATATACTTTATCCATCTTCACAGGTGGATCCAATCAATGTTTAGGGTCGAATTCTCTTGTAGTTGGGTGGTCATTTACGACTATTATTTAGTATGTATTTATTAATTTTGAAATAAAATTTTCCCATAAAAAAATCCACACCTTCCAAAATACAAGCCTCATACTACCCTATCTCATATCGTTTGGGGGCGTTTCTCTTCAAAACGATCATGAACACCCTTAATAGAAACTGATCAACACACCCCAATTAGCAAGTACAAATGTCATAGCTATTCATTAAAAAAAAAAAAAAAAAAAAAAAAAAAAAAGGTGCAACCAATTAGCATCATAGATTGAATCGTGATAAAGTGAGTCAAATACGTATTATTGCCATATAGACATATATCAATATATATGTACATATGTATATAATATACCTAAGAAAAAAATACATATTTTGCTTTTTATTGATGACGGATTGATGAGTGAGAAATCCTCGTCTCGGTATTGAGGCGCTGTAGCCTTGACATGTTACACAAAAACTGAATCAAGCTTTTGAGTTATAACTTGAGTTGAGTTACACATTGAGTGTAGATTTTGAGTTAAGTTTGAGTTATAACTTGAGTTGAAGTTGTAACTTAAGTTTGTATTTGGTTGTGTACATTTGAGTTGTGGTTTGATATAAAAATATTTTTTGAGTTTGTGTTTGAGTAAGTCAAAACTTAAATTTATTTTTAGATAGTATTTTAATAAAAACTCAATGCTGATGAAAAATTTTAATAGGGTATATTGGTCTAGTTTTATTCGTCTTTTCGTTGTCAACGCATAGAAAAAAAATCATCTCAATCAGAATTAAAATGAAAAAGTTATAGCATTTTTAAGAATAAAAAAAATATTGTTCATTAATTTGAGTTCGAGTTTTTGAACTCGAGTTGAAGGGAAAACTTTGAACTCGAGTTTTAGTTCTAAACTCGAGTTCAAACTCGAGTTCAAACTTAAAAGAATATGAATTCAAATAAAGTTGTAACTCGAGTTACTTTTTTTTTTTTTTTTTTTTTTGAGATTTTCACTCAAAAACTAGCTCCCCGGACAGCCCCGGTTTCTTGTTGTTTATCTTTTTATTGTCGTTGTTTATATGTTCTTGTCGTTTTTCATTTTTATTGTTAATCAATTCCGTATCGTCATCTTCTCTGTTGTGTTTCTGTTTGTCGTTTCTTAAATATTTATTTGAGCGTTTTAAGCTTTGAATTTCTATCGTCTTTTGGTTTATCTGTATGTGTTTTCCCATTTTTTGTCGTTTGCATGTTCGTTATCGTTTAATTGCTGTCTTTTTTCTTTCCTTTTCGCGTTTTTTTTTTATACAAAACAACCCTTCATCCAACCCCTTCAGTGCCACTAGACCAAGATGTCTTGGGCCTTTTATTTTCGTGTTTGATGCCGTTTACATTTTAGTTATTATACTGTCGTTTTAGCTTTCATTGTAGCCATTTAGATCGTTACTATTGTGTAAAAATAAAAAAATAAAAAAATAATAATAAGATTATCTATATTTGACTTTATAAATATTTTATGAAGACAAACACGAACCAAAAAAAGAAAAGAAAAGGCAAAAGAACAAAAAAAAAAAAAAAAAAAGGTTTGCAAAACGTTTTGTAAATTTTGAGAAGAAACCCATTGAGTTTCGTAATATGACATAGATAGATTTGAGAATATATATAATATATAAGGAGGCAACGAAAAAACAATAAAAAATGAGAAGAAATAAAAATAAAACGTGGAAATAAAAAAAGTATGAGAGGACTAAGAAACGTTTCCCGTGTTATCACCCCAAAAAACGCATTTACCTTATAGTATGGATGGATATAGACGGTATATCTTCGGTCTAGCTTGTAGCATTTTGCTGTCGTCCTATAAATCTTATTGTCGTTTTTTACTTTATATGTCGTCTATGTGCTCTATGTATAAATATATATAATGTGCTATTATATTGTTGTTCTAATGTTTTGTTCTCGTTATCCATGACAACAATTACGTTAAGTACACAGCTTTCATGATTAGACAAAAAGAATTAGTAGGAAAATAAAATCTTGCAATTAAGTACCTATATCGCTCTTTGAATTTCAAATGCTTCCAATCACCACAAAGCCTAGGCTTCGATTAATAGGAGAGATGCAAAAACAAAAAACAAAAAAAAAAGGGCTTACGAACGTAAATGATGATAGCAGAGATAGTGAAAAATGGAACTCGAAAAATCAAAACAAATGCCGTAAAACTAAAATCCACCCACCATTAGTGCTCGACGAAATCTCCGGACGATGGAATCCAGCATCTTCGCCTCCATCGGCTCCGAGATCGCGGGAATCATGTCCGCAGCAGTCTCCATCTGCATGTTCTTCGCCGTTCTCCTCGTTTACTCCCTCTCGTCTTCTTCTACCGCCACCGCCGCCGCCGCCCAAGTCCGCACCGCCGCCAACCTCATATACCTCGAAGACGCCTCCGAAAAGCTCGGAGGCGCCCTCCTCAACGCCCTCGTCTTCGTCCTCCTCTTCACCCTCGTCTCCTTCCTTCTCGTCCTCCTTTACTACATCCCCTTCACCACTTTTCTCAAGAAGTACTTCTCCATCCCCGTCGACTCCCTCCTCCTCTTCAATTTCTCCGTCGTCGGCGCCCTCTCGCTCTTCTCCGCTGAGTTTCCGATAATCCGGCGCCAATCCTGCCTGGTCTCTCTGTGGATTCTTGTTGCCACTTGTTCGCCAGATTGCCCGAGCGGACCACTTGGAGCTTGCTCGTGGCATTGGCATTGTATGATCTCGTTGCCGTTTTTGGCCCCCGGCGGGCCGTGGTACTGCGGAGAGAAGCGGAGATTCTTTGGCCGCCATTGGCGCTACTGGTGTCGGATTCGGGCAACGTCGAGCTTCAGACGATGAATTGGATGAGTCGCGAAAGTCGTGAAGTGGTTGATGAAGAAGATGGAGACGAGGGGTTGCGGTTGGTGGGGAATGGCGGCAATTCTTCTTTGGATGAGGAAATGTCTCCTCTTATGGAATTACTTAATGGAAATGGGGAATGAGAGAGAGGTCACAAGTAATGGAGGGATTAAGCTTGGTTTAGGGGACTTCATTTTCTAAGGTGTGCTTGTGGGCAGGGCAGCAATGTGCGATCTCACGACGGTGTATGCGCGTTACATCGCGGTCATCTCGGGACTTGGCTGCACTCTCACTCTGTTGTCCGTGTACCGGAGACCCCTGCCCGCGCTCCCGATTTCGATCGCACTGGGCGTGGTGTTTTACTTCTTGACAAGGTTTTTGATGGAGCCTTTTGTTGTTGGGACGGCCTTAAACCTGTTGATGTTTTGATCATCCTCACATTTTTTATATGAGGTACGTTGCTGTTTTAGTGAAGGAAATCCTGATCGTGTTTTCATGTTGGGCATTTTGATCTGCTATACAAATCAAAAGATACTAGTACTATCTCATGAAATGACAATTTCTTCTTAACCATTGGATTTTCTAACGGATTAACCTACTTCATAACAACTTGTAATTGAAATATAAGTTTTTTGACTTTACTTTTCAGGTCATAATTCTAATAGAAAATCCAATCTTTTCTTCACTGAATGAGAATGTTAGCACATTTTCCTTCTTAAGCTTTTACCGTGGTGTTTATAGAGTACGAATGACAATTTTTGCCTTTTGTTTTGTGCTCAAATTACTCGAAAGCTCATGCCACTTATGCCCACCGTGAATCTGTTGCTCAGTATATGATTATTAAGAGCAGATGTGTAGCATATAAACTGTTTCGTGACATTGATAATTTTCAGCAATCACGCATTTATGACTTATCTTGTCTTCTGGTGTTTGTTGAAAGTCCGTTCTACCTTGAAATGTTGAATTTTAATTCTTTTTTCTTAAGGATCTGTGGTGGGGGGGAAATAAAAATACAAAATCCTTTCGACTAAAAAGAAAAGGAATCAAGAAATAAACAAAAACATGTACACGCGTGCATTTCTGTAATTAACTTGCAATCCTCACTTATGGTATTAAACAAAGATTCTAGTTTTGCGCTTTGCTTTCTTTTAACAACTAAGACCCTGGTTCGGCACATCAGGCAAATTCAGCTCCCACGATCTTAATCTCCACTGTTGAATGGGCGCTCACCGAGCTACCATACAAACCTGAAGCGATGAACAATGCCAAGGCTGAGCTTACACCAGTGGTGGGAACAAACAGAAAGGCAGAAATGGGTGACGTTTACAATCTTCCGCTCATAGTCCTGCTGAGAGGCTACGCCTGATACCAATTTCTACGGATACTTTGTAAAAAACACAGGTGTGAACGTTTGGGCAATCTGATGAGACCCCGATGTTTGGGATGACCCTTGTTTCGTCATGCCTGAGAGGTCCATCAACTCGAAAGTTTATCATAAAGGGCAACATTTTGAGCCACTTCCATTTGCAGCTGGGCAAAGAATATGCGCGCCTGCGCACATCTGTAATTGGCTGCTTTACACTTTGTTTTGCAGTCATTGCTTCATCATGACTGGAAACTTGATGGCAAAGTTACCCGAGAAATCATGGATAGGAAGGACATGTTCAGATTAGATTGCGCTTGCAGTGCCCAGTGAGCGCGTAGCAGAGGCTCAAGTGTCAAGTGGATCAAATGCACTTAACTCCCTTCTGTCGTAAGATATCTTGCCTAAAGAGTAAAGCCTGCAATGCATATGAGAGATCAGTTTCCATCTGAGGAGAAAAATAAATCTAAGAGGAAATAAAAGGTTTTATAGAAATGGATATCAAAGAATTCCTAACAGAAAATCCTAGAAAAGAAGATCAATGGACAAAGCCTTTGCCTAATAAACGAGATCTTAATTAGATACCTAAAGAACCCTGAAGGACCAGAGATTACCATTCTCGTTTCTCAAACTTCAAAGCAGTCATAAGGAGTATTATCTTGCAACCAATCATGATATGGCCTGTTCCCTGACCATCTTTAGCCCATTAACACCACCAATTCTGCAGAAATAATTCAGGCCAAGCAGAAGCTCCGTGACCGCAGCTTCCGTTTTTACTTGATTAGCATGGAAGAGGGTCTGCATCAGAAGGATATTTGTTCTGGAAACCTCGTGCTGCTTCTCAATATTTCGCTCAGAATGCCATCTTATCGTATTATGAGCAAGTGGAGCAAGCCATTCCAATATCCGCAGGAGTGCCACATTCCACTCTGCTGCGAGGGCAGGATTGTAGACAGATGAACCCATAGTTATGGCATAGGACTTGAGTTTTGCCCTCAAAGTGGTTCTTATTGTCGTAGGTAACATATTGTATAGGTCATCTCTTGCGTCAGGACTGATCAAGTGAGGTGATGAAGCTAGTTTCTCAATCAATATGATAACATTTGCATAGTGAAGAGCTAAAGCAGCATCCCCAAGAGTAGAGGCACGTACATTCAACAATTTACCATTGGCATTGAACAGTGCTAATTTAAAATATACGTTGTTACTTGAAGAAAGAGGCGCCTTACTAGATCTTTTCGTATAGTCAATATTTTTTACATAAGTAGGGAGCAGCCTCATGGAACCACCAGCTGTAGGCTTGCAACTCTCTACAATAGGCGATTGACTCCCGCCAATCATGCAGCCGCCAAAAGATCCGCCATGCCGCTTGGATTTCGAATATTTAAACTTTCCACGTTCTGCAGATGACTGGTGATGATCTTCTTGCCTCCTTCCGTTCATTGTGTTCTCATCACTATTCATCCCTGACGTAATTGATCTTGGAGGTCCAGAAGAAAAGCCGCATGCCTTTGTCTCAGATGGATAAAGAGAAGAATGCATAGCTGCTGAAAAGGAAGGGGTGCGATGGATATAATCAGAATTTCTAGGTTGACAGTAAGTCTTCTCTTCTTCAGAAGCCATTTGATTAACTCCAAAGACAAGTTTAATTCTTTCCAATATAGTAAAAAGTGATCTTGCCATAAGCCGAACAACATAGTCATAAGTTCTCACCCATGGAGACATCCCTCGCAAATTCTTCACTTCTTGACGTTGCCACATCACCTTCTGCTGAAACTCGAGCAATTTCACCCGGTCTAGCTGAGCATTAAACTGCATTCTCCTCAGAGTTTGTTCAAGCTCAGCCAATACATCTTGCTCATGTGATAATTGCATCGTAACAGCAATGAACCTTTCCATTTTCTTCACTTTCTTCTCCATTTTCTTCCATTTATATGCCCAACCGAACCACTGAAAATCATTGTGAACCGGGTCCATATAAAATTCTTCGAGACGGTGATACACAGGTTCTCTGCACCTCTTGCTAAGCCTCACCACAGATCTAGAAAGACATCCAAAATTCTCAATTATCTCCTCCAGTGCAAGTTCCATTAGGTATTCTTCATCCTCGGATACAAACCTTTTAACCCCAGCTGAGTCTGCAATCTGTTCTCTCAACCTTAGAATTTCTTTGTCACTCAAAGAATGCCATAAATTAACCAGCTTTGACATCAACCCAGCAACTTCAAACGCCAATATTCCAAGGACAGGGTCGGCAGACTCTGCAGAACTCTTCCAAGGAAACCGCAAAATCCCCATTTCTTATCCTATTCAAGTGTATAGGATCTCCAACAGAATTTTCAATGCACTCCTGGACTCCTGTGTAAGGATAATAATTTATCCTTAAGCATGGTACAAATTAGATTGCAAAACCCTCAATTATAGCACTAAAAAGAGATTCTTTAAATTTTCTTCTCCATAACAAAATATCAATCATTTGATACAGATTGAAAGACGAAGAGAACAGAAGTGGTCATCGACTTGACTAACCTAAAATCCGGTTATAACCTAACCCTCCGTTTGCATGCCCCAGAAGCTGCAAAAGGATAGAAATGAACAAACAATGCAGATTTGAAAAGAAAATATACCAATTTTGAGCTAAATAAAACATGAAATCGAGCTAAGTAGCGATTGCAAACTTAGCCTAGCAGTAATTCCATACTCACCTCTAATGTTGAGGTCTAGAGTTCTAATGCGCCCCCCTGCCCCAAGTTATAGAAATTGAGCTAAGTTGACTAGTAAACTAAGCTAACCTAGTTTTCTGACCAAAACAAACAATAATCCACAAAAATTCTTCTCAAAATCACACAGCTCAGGACAAAAATGTAAAAAAATTTTGTCCCCTTTTCTGGACATTTTCCTTGGCAACAAAACAAAGAATTTATCCACTTATAGCAAAAACCTGAAAGCAAACGCGGAATCATCTAAACTTAAACCCTCTGTTTGGTTTCCAAGAATGACAAACTAATTTTGAGGTAAATCAAACACATAATTGAGCTAAGTTGACTACAACAATGAAGTCAAACCCAACTTTCTGTTCTTTACCGGACATTTTCTCAGCAACCAAACAAACAATTGCTCAACTACCACATAACCGAAACAAAAACACACAAAATTTTGAGCTAAAATAGTAAATTAATACAAAACAACAAACCAGACAAAATCACAAAATGTAACCAGATTTAAACAGAAAATCAAAATTACCTTTGAAGAAGTACCGGAAAATCAAAATGTACGATAGCTTCTTGTGAATCACTGTACTGGGCATTAATGGCGCGCGTTCGTCAAATAGCTAAGAACGACAAGGTAAAGACAGACTTAAGAAACGGTCAAACCGAAGACGAAAACCGCATATTTCCTTGTTTATGCTTCGGATATACATGTGATATTGCCAAGGCCAAACAAAACTTTAAAAAAATAAAAATAAAAACACTTTCCCAATCGAAGAAGGAAATCGGAAGAAAAGACTTGGAGTTAGTAAGATTTGCCTTGGACCAAAAAGAAAAGCTTTGGGAATTGGGAGTCTCCTAACTTGGTTTAGATAAGGGAATATGGATACGGGGAAACAGGGGAGTGTTTTTTTCTTGTTGGGCTGTGCTTGGTCTTGTGTGAAAGTGAAAGTTGTAGGTGGGTGGCAATTTTGGAATTGGAAGGGTGAGCATGTGCTTGTCACGTGAGACAATTTGATGAATAACTGCCCTTTATAGTGAGAGCTTACGCATAATCGGAATGAGCATGAATCGGAGTGAGTAAGATTCGGAGTGGGTAGGATTCGGAGTGAAGAATCGAAGTCAGAATAAGCTGTTTACTTAGTGATAGGATTCGAAATCGAAGTCATTCCAAATCTCATTCATGCGTTTACTTACACCCAGAATGAGAATAAAAAAGTGTAAAAGTATTAATATACCCTTTAAATCAATTTGATATTTTCAATTTAAAAAATATATTGTGTACCTATTATATTAAAATTAATCATAATTAAAATATTTAGTGTAATAATTAGGTACTAAAATAATAAATATAAATTGTACAACTATTTAAAATATAAAAATAAATTTTAAAGAAATTTAAATAAAATAAATAAAAATAAAATATAGTGTTAAAAAATAAAATATATTATTAATTTATTAAAAAATAAAGTACATATTTATTATATTAAAGTTAACAATAATTATGAAATAAGGGTATAATAGTAAATTGATATTAATATTAGGAATGAGAGTCTCAATCCCAAGGGGGGCATGGGAATGCCAATCCCATTCCTCAATTCCAAATTTGAGTGGGACCTACCAATCTTACTCCCATTCCAGGATAAAAAAGAACAAGTAAACATGGGATTGACTCCCATTCCCCACTCTCATTCTTCAATCCTGATAAGTAAACATGCTTAGGGGGCGTTTAGTATGCGAGAATCAGTAGGAATCATATTCCCAAGAAAGTGATTTAGGGTAATATGATTCTTAGGAATAATACATTACTGTGTTTGGTTCCATACAGGAATCTTTTTCAAATTCCCAAGAATATTACATTACTGTGTTTGGTTGTTCGCATGGAAGAAGATCCATAATAATAATATTAATAAAAAATTATTATTGTTATTAATAAAAATAAAAATAATATATTATTAATATTATTATTAATATAATAATAATATTATTATTAATATAATAATATT